TTCATCGTTCGGTTGGGTCGGAGTTTAAACAGGGTTTCATAACTTGAATCGCCGCGTGGAGCTCGACCACACTGAGGCTTGAGCGCCCTGAAATAGCGCGTTCGCCTGGCACCAACACCATGATCCACACGCGTCGTGCTCAGTTAACCCCCCAAATGGACGCGCCGCATGCGCCTTTTTCTCCTCGCCACTGTGTGCCCTCCGGAATGCGCATGCGTGGGGCGTCATGACGCGCCGCGTCCGCCCCAGCCCAAGACCTCTCCCCCTGACGGGTGTCCCCGACGAGCCTATGTGCGGTGCAGAGCCCCTCTCTGGGTGGTACGAAGTGGATGCTGAGCTCTCCGTGCCAGATCAAATCGTCCTGCTGCCAGGTGAGTAGGCCGGCTTCTCGTGCTCGTCCTCTGGCTGACCTTCGACGTGCAGCTGCCTGCGCAACTCGAGCAGTTTCGAGCTATCCATAATCGTCTTCTATCGAATCACCTCTTCAATGGCCCATGCCCCACCACCCAACAGCAATGCAAAAATCGCCGCCAGTGAACCCGGGGCGAGTTCCACTGGCCATGAGGCTGAGCCAGACGAGATCGCCCAACTTATGGAGAACACCTACGCCCGATATGCACGCCACGAGACCTCTCGCGACGGGGCTGTCATCATCTTCACCCGTGCGTTCTATCCTAGCGCCACTCAAATCGGGACCCCCGAACACATTATGGACAGCACGGTCGAGTCTTTCTATAAGCGCCTCGACGACGCCGACATGGAGAACCGCGAGGCCAGAAGGAGCCGGACACAGGCCTTCGCCGGGCTCGAATCGCAGATGGGAGTCAGGGATCGCGGCGGAGAGGAGCGGAAGTCTGGCTTGGAGCGAGACGTCTCACGAAATAAGTTCGCTCACGGACGCGTTTTGCTTGCGCACTCTCGCGGAGAGTGTCTCGTCCCCGGACCTCGCCGCAAAAGCAACAACGAGCGCGCGGCGCAAGGCGGGAGGCGCTCGAACCCCTCTCTGGTCGCGGCTCGCGGTACCAAACACGCCCCCTGCTACCGAGACGGAGACTGGTCCTCTGAAGACGAACTCAGCCGGAAGAGGCCGAAGCCCGACCGCTCGTTGTATCCATGGATAGTCAACAAGCCCATCCCCCCTTCCTCTGTTCGACCGATTGTCAAGCGCCTGGTAGAGCAGTACCGCAACTTCTCCCTCGACATCATGTCCACACTCACCAATCTCCTCAACTCACCTGGACTCCCGGAGTTAACCGCATGCGAGTGGGACAACATTTTGTGCGGACGACCCGTCGACCTCGACCAGGTCTTCATTAGCCGATATCCAACCGCCTCCAGTTCAGTCAAATCCTCCGGCGACCGGTTCGCTGCGTCGCAGGACGCCAGCGCCGCCTACGCCTTCGCTCTTCCCGAGCTCGCGCCTGTCTGTGTCACCTACGGAAAACAAATCATATCCCTCTTCGCATCCTTGCACGAATCCCTTGCAGGACGGGTCCTCGATTACGACCGAGCAATTCGGAAACGTGTCGCATCCAACCGCAACCTTCTCTTCTCCGACACGGCCGAGTTCTTCGACCTCCGCCTCCAGCACATCGAATCTGCAGGTGCGACCGTCGTGGAAGCATCCACGAGCCACGTCTCCGAGTCTCGGCAGAACCGAGGTAGCCGTCGGCACAACCCCAACAAGTGAAGATCGCTCGACGAAGTGTGTCGCCGTTTCAACGATGGCCGCGCGCACGAGCTTTCCACGTGCAAGTACAAGCACATCTGCTCGCTCTGCCGCTCCAGCTCCCATTCCAAGTCCCAATGCCCTACGACTTCGTTTTGAGCGCCTGGATTCCTTCAACTTCGTCCATGCTCATCGAAGCAGCCCTAATCATTGCAAAACCCTCGCCCATCCCTCTCTTCCCATTCGTCCTTGCGTCCGTCCCTCGCATCACGCCCTTTCTCTCACAGGATTCTTCCTCGCCACTGCCAGCGGCGCGCTCCCCATTTGGTGTTTTCTGCTTTTCGTCGCGGGTAGCGTCGAGCCCGCGCCCGCTCTCCGTCGCGCCCAGGACGCAACTCATGACCGCGGGAAGCATGGCGTTATCTTGGCGATCGCGATGACGCTGCTGGGGAGTATGAGGACGAGGTGCTGAGGGACACGTTCGGGCGCGTGGGACGCGTGGGGGAGCGTACGCCGTGGTCCGTGTACTTACCCGGGCCTGTAATAACCACTGGAAGGTACTGCGAGTGCTGCGCATAGGAAGTGATTCGATTTCGATGAGTATTGAAGCTTGAAGGCCCGGAGAAGACGTACCCGCGGTGTGTTTCTGCATCCCCATCGTTTGGATGGGTGTTAATAAGTGACTTGGCAGAGGTTAGTGGCTGTCGAGGGGGTGTTTAGACACGACACGCAGTGTGGTAGGCCGCGATCGGCGGTAACGGTGGCGTGACGGTCACGTAGACCTGATCTGCGCACCGAGTCCCGACGTTCCATCCCCGTCTCGTTGGTGGATATCCATCATAACCCATGTCAGACTCTGCCCCCAGTTTCCGCGCCCTGGAATCTCAAATCGCCTTCATCACCACCGTTCTCCACTTGGCTCGTCCCGCCGTTCTACAACAAATCAACAAGGACATATAACAAGATCAAAACCGAAATCAAAGTCGGCGTATGGCACAGCACCTCCTTCATCCTGGCCACCGGAGATGAGAACGATCCGGTGGGATCCAAGGGTGTCGCCGTCACTGGCCGCAGAACTCGTGAAGAGATCGGTGTGCTTCTCTCTCGCAACCTCTCTCAGCGCGCACTGGACGCCACCGCCCGTCTCTCTCCTGGCCCATCTTCTCCCCCCTTTGTGGGCAATAGGGCCCACGGTTACCAAGCCATGCTTCATATTTTGCGGTGCGAGCAGAAGTGCGTTCTTTCTTGTGTATCATAGCGGTTTGACGACGGTGGGCCTGACCGCTGTGGACAGGGGATTAAAAGTCAAGCCCGAGCAACACATTCAAGACGTTGTGAACGTGGCCCAGTTCTACGTCACACGCACTCCCGGTCCTTTAGACGGCGCGCATCGTGTCCTTCTTTTGGCTTTCATTGCCCATCGTTGCTGTATCAAGCTGGCATCCCGTATCGAGCTCGGCAGAACCATGTGGCCTGGCCTTGACAAAGTACGAGACGATGAACGACTACATCCCGCAGATTTCATTTACAACAAGCTTATCGATGCCACGACCAAGTTGCCAAACATTCAGACGGGAACAGTGGTTCCCATGCCAAGCTTCACACCTCGAAGATGGAGGACTCTGCATGGATCCCTCTCGACCAGCCGCCTCGGACTATGACTCCTATCCGGTCACGAGGGAGAACGCGGCGAGCTGGGCTCAGCTCCTTTGGAATTCCGTCGACACCATGGAGAGAGTATTGAAGGCAGTCAAGGAGGAAACCGTCACTGCACAACTATTCCTGGATTTCGAGCGTGCAATGTGGTTGTTGAAGTATCTCGTTGGAAGCGGTGTCCTCGAGCATATCGTCGCAGGCAGCATCAAGGAAGAGTTGAATAGGGCGCGCAAAATTAAGTATTCTAACCTGGAGGGTACGTAAGTCGCGGTAGCGCCTTGTTGTACAGCCGCGCTGATCTCCTCCATTCAGGCCTCATCTACGGGAAGAACCAGCATTCAACGAGCGCCGGTCAAACCTTTGGACAAGGTGTGTTGTCGTCCGGATGGTATAGTCGATGCATCCGTTATGACAATCTCAGGCGACGATGTTACTGCCTCAGATTTCGAGTCTGCCCTCGAACTGGAGCAAGAGGGTAAGACTCGCCCCCACCTTCCACTTTCTGGATCCCTCGCTGACTTTCAATCATAATATTTAGTTGCGGAGGCGTTCTCCGACGATGGGGAGGGTGAGGACCCCCTCGTCCGGCATCTCAAGGCTCTTGTCATCCCCGACGACATCGTCGACATTTTTATGACGCTGTCGTCGCCGGTCGACCATCCGCGCGTGGAGGCTGTACTTGTGAACGATGGGTATCTTGCGCCATTGGATGATGCATCGGGACCTTTCATTGACAGTCTTCGGAAGGACATCGAAGCCGTCTTGAAGAGGGAGGGATTCGACATTGAGTCTGCAAAGCTCCAACAAGTGTTGGACGATGCAGTTGAACGCGTCAATACTGCAAGCGTGCATGCCGAGTCTGCGCTCATGGCGCGCGCACTGTCCATGCATGAGAACCCGGATTCGGCGACACCCTCCGCGGAACTGTCGAAAGAGGCCTCGGATCTAGTGAAGGAGGTTCTCGAGGTACGAGTCCTTCTCGCACCCGCCGGCGCTAGATTCACGACGTTGACATTCTTGCAATTAGAATGAGGAGATTGCCATAGGTGTCGGAAAGAGGAGCTGCTTTTGCTGCGACCTCCTCGCTCAACTGATCGCACACCGTGGATCCACGAACCTCGACTTTGTTCTCCCAGGAACGCACCCAACCATTTTCCCTTGGCACCCTCCGCCCGGGTTGTCGACCGACATCCTGCAGGCTATCAAGGACCGCTTGATCGAGGCGATGAAAGAGGTGCTGGGAGCCGCCATCAGCTCGACTCAACCGACACTGCGGTTGGATCCGCCGAAGCCCATGACGGTGGAGCGGTTGAAAATGCTACCATGGATACTACCTTGAGCAGCCATTGGTATGTACCACGAGGAAATACGAAGGATCAAGCTTGTTGAGCAGGCGGTGTGATGCGGGTCACCTGCGATGCTATCACTGACCACCCTCTGTGCGTCGCAGGTGGAAGCGCACTCTCTCGGCCAGACGACATGCCATCGACTCCCTGCGCATATCTTTTCACTCCACCGAACCTGACGAAGCACCGGCCGCCTCCTGACCTCCTCTCCCTCGTCGCGCGCGTCGCCACCGTCCTCGCTCTCTGGGAAGTTAGCGTGTCACGGTGCTCCTGTTTCGTGGCATGCGCACCAGCCGCGCCGCATAGTACCATGGTTCTCCTCCTGGTGTATACGTCGTATCGCTGTACCATTGGTTCGGCCCTTCGTCGAATTAACATGTGTACAATGGTTCGAACGCCTTATTTGTCAAATACCGCGCAGGTTCACGACGACTGCCATCAAGCGACCGACTGGTCAGCTCGGCATCGCGCTCCAACAGTTCAAGGGCACTCTCACCGACTTCGAAGCCACTTGGAACGTCCAACAGCCCGCGTCCTCCCAGCGGTCCAAACCACTCGCACACCGTTGCCAAAAGTGCGAAGGGTGAGGACATTGCCCGCGATAGCGAAAAAAATATGTACAGAACGACGACGACCTCCAGTCACGATGGATGCCATCCGGGCAAGCAACGCGATCACCAGCCACTCCTACGAATCATACCGAGGCGGCGGGGCAAGCCTCTGCTCGCGGAGCTCCTCCACGACGGCCCGCAGGCGTTCGACCTCCTCCCGCAGGACCGACACCCCCCCGCCGGACGTGGCCGACTGGCCATCCTCCCAGTCCGTCTCCAAATGCGGCGCGAGCGCCCGCCGGCTCAGGCCGTCCGGCGAAATCGAGCCAGGGTCCAGCCCGGCGGAGGCGTTTACGACGTATTTCTGCGCCTGGTGTGGCCTGGCAGCTTCGCGCGCTTTCGAGTATCGTCCGGCCGTCGGGGGCGGTGGCGCAGGGCGGTGGTTCGGCACGAGCCTGGGTGGGGAGACTCCCTCCGAGACTTTGGAGACGTACGCCGGGGGACTCCCCGTCGCGCTTTGGGGCGACTGTGCGGGAGAGCTCAGGAGTGACATCTGCGCCTCGACCGAAGACTGGCCGTCGGGAAGGGGGTACGGTTCGTTGCTGAGGGGGTACGAGTGGAGCATCATGGATGGCGGCAAGCTACCTTCGGAGTGCGCTTGCGAGAGTTGCGGTGCGGCGCAGCCGTTTAGGTCGAAAACGACGTCGGAGAGGGGGCGTCGCCGCCGTTGGAAATACCAGAAGGAAACGCCCGCGACGACGAGGACGGCGACGCCCCCGACAACACCGCCGACGATGGGGCCAACGCTGGACTTGGTAGAATCGTTGGAGTCCGTGCTTCCGGCGGAGCCGTTGAACGGAGCGTTGATGGAAGAGCTGTTCACCACGTTCAGGGCGAGATGGGCGTACATTGCGCCCAGTGCAGGCCTTCGGAGTTGAGGTCAATACTTGTAGCGCGCATACAAGGCCGGTCGTAACATACCCTGCCGCGCCACTCATGCCGGCCCCTGTCGTGCACTGATAGTCGTCGGGCATCGAACCCACAACACCGTTGTAGGAGGTCCGACTCCATGCCCCGGAAATCATGGAGTCTCTGGTCGATGTGTCGCTTTCGGAGAGAGTGGCGCTAGTGAACAAAAGCCAGGCTAAATGACATCAATCAAAACAAAGCGCAGCAGAGGTAGTAAAGATGATATAGAACGTACATAAGCTGCACGGGCTGTTTGGTGTCGAAGTGATAGGGAGTCCGTAGGTCCCAGCTGACGGAACGGTGTTCAGAAATGATTCATGGAGGGAAAACAGCTGGGGGGCTTCACCGTTGTTCTGAAGTAGTGTTTTGTAGTACTGCGTCTGGCCAGCAAGAAGCTGCGGGGATTGAGCTACGGGGACTCTACTCGGGAAACGTGTGAGCGGTACTGACTGATTGCGGAACGACGCCTGTCCCCAGCAGCACATCGGGGTAAAGGTTGTACATGAGCGCCCACGAGTCCGAGTCCCCGTACTGTCCGAGAATACGCTTGTTAGAGTCGTTGGATGTCGCAAGTGACGTCCATGTCCGGACCATCGTTGTCACGTTGCTCTGAAAAATGCCGGTGAGAAAAGAAGCA